TAGCTCTCCGAGGCCGTGTGGCACACAGAGTTCTGATCGGCACAAAATCTCTTCAGAGGCGGCGCACTGGAGTCCTCCTCCTCTTCAGTTACCTGCAAAGGCAGAGGTCACGGGCAGCGACAGTCGCTCGGCGTGCCCACCGAGCCCCGCGGGCCCAGGCAAGGCTGCGTCACGCTGCGGGGACAGCCCGGGCTTTCGCCTGTGAGGAAGCCCCAGGGCACCAGGAGCGAGAACCCACTTCAGCCCCGCAGTCGGCCAGAATCGTGGTTTTACTCCACCTCCCCGTCCTTTCTTTGCACTTGAAGACCTGAACTGAACCAGGGGACAGCTCGGGAAGCCGGGAGGTTTGGGGAGCTCCTGGAGGGCGCTTTGGGACTGCAAAGCGAGCCCAGCCATCGAGAGGGTTCTGCTGCAAGGGGCAGCAACAATGGCGAAAGGGCCAGGCCGGGTCTGTGTGCATTTAGGTGTGGTTTCAATCCCTCTTCCCTTACCTGAGTCTCAAGGGGGACCGGCTCTTCCTTTGTGAGAGTGGGAGGCTCGTCTGCAACCTCCGAGGAAGGTAGGGAGGGCTCTGGGGAGAACAGAAGGGTTAACGAAACCACCCACCCAGGAGCACGGCAGCACCCAGCTCAGTGCTGAGCCAGTAGAGGAGACCATGACACAACGCTCCCTGTCCACCTGCAGCAGCGCCTCAGTCACCCACCGGACAAGCACCAGCTCCAGCAGGGCCTTCCCCAGGCCCAGCCATCCTCCTCCTCCCTTCCCAGCCCAGCACCCACCTTCCAGCGTCTCCTGCCCCAGTGTGGGTGGCTGCGAGTCGTCCGTGCGGAAGTCGGACGTGTGGGCAGGACTCATGGACTCGCTCTGCTGGGGACTGGGGCTGGAGTTGGGGCTGCTGTCCACCTTGAGCTGGTAGACGTCCGACAGGGAGCTCTGGTTGCTGTTCTCATCTGCAGAAACAGCACCTAGTGAAGAAGAGCACCTTGACCCAGGGGCACAGGCAGCCGAGGGCAGCACTGAGAGCCGGGGTCTTAGGGAGAAGGCAGAGCACCGTCGGAGGCAGTTTGAGTACAGGGGATTCGCTGTCACCCCTCAACATTAGGGCTGTCGGGCACAGGACTCCCCGCCGGCACACGGCTGGCATCGGACACGCAACTGGCCCGCGGGAGAGGGGGTGCTCCTGCCCGGGGAACAGGCCCGAGCAGGCAGAGCGCGACCCTGGGCTATTCACACAAAGCCAGCAGAAGGCACAGGGGCGACACAAAGCGCTGCGCTGCCACATCTCACATCTGCAGCTTGCGGGGGCCCCAGGCATTTGAGGACAGGAAAGCTCTTGCCTATGCCTCTTCTGTTTGCGAGGCAGCACCCTAACACCAGGAGCAACGCTCAGCACCTGCCTCCGGCCGGGGAGGCAATCCCGGCACACATCTTTTCCAGGTAAAGCGGTCCCAAACCGCAGACCTGCAACGCTAACCTTCCCACCGCACCTACTGGCAGGGCCAACACATTCCCTGATTTTCCTTGGCCACACCGAGCAGAGAGGCCGGGGCCAGGCACACGCTCTGCTCCAGCAGCGAGGCTACGCGCTGCCTGAGCCTCACTCGGCTCTGCCACAGTGCCCGGCCTGCTCGCGGCTGGCTGCGGTGCTCCGGGATCCAGAGCAAGGTCAAGGAGATCCTCTGCCCGTTTGTCCTAAGGTCCACAACAAGCCACCGCTGGAAGCAGCAGGCTCAGCCGCAGGCAGCTACCAGCCTCTGCCCAGCAAAGTGGGAACGGGAACCCCCGCTTCTCCAGTTCCCAGGAAGCTTCCCCCAAGAAACGGTTCCCAGGAAGCTTCCCCCCAATCAGAAGCTTCCCCCCAATCAGAAACGGCTGATTAAGATTCTTTCTGACAGCAAAAATGAAGAGTTTCAGCAGGGACAGCCCAGAAGCGGATCAGCACAACCCCGCACCGAAGACACGTGCAGCTCTTCCCAACACACGTGGCATACGCAGGCGACACACGTGGCATACGTAAGCCAGCGACATCCCAGCTTCTGTAAGGCCTCGGAGTCTTTCCCCAGCTTGAAGGGGGCTCAGCCAGACTCACCTTGGAACTCCAGGAGGAGAGAGGAGTTGGCAGAGGTGTCAGCTGGGAAGCCATTGGGTTCTCGGGCAGCGCTGCTACTCGATTTGGATTTCTCTTTCTTGAGGAGAGAACAAAAAGCAGAAACGCAAGGTCAGAGGGGCCCGAGAGGACGCGGAGGGGCACAACCTGCTCCAGGGAAGCAGCTGCCCTTCCCCTCTCCCAGCAGCCCGGAGGGATGTGCTCCTGCAGGCTTCTTCCCTTTGGCTGGGAGCACTTTTCTAACCGAGGGGCCAAACTGCAGCTGTGAAGGGCTCAGAACCAGGAGGAAGAGGAGGAGCTGACACCCAGCGAGGAGCACCGCCGCACGGCAACGAGTCCCCTGGGGCCGCAGGGGGCGGGGGGGGCACCCAGCAGCGTGTGAGCTCAGCGGCAAGGGAGAAACCAGCAGGGACCCGGCTGCGGGGCGCGGGCAGGGGGGGGG